ATGTCTAGATATCAGTATGAACTCTTTACATGTTTTAGAAAAAAAAAGATTATTTTCTCCTAGATCTACTTGATGTTGTTACTTTTTTAGAACAGGGAAAACCAATTCTTAAAATTCAGTCACGTGAATATGGAAAACCAATACGTTAAAAATAGACTTTATAATATTTAACTATCAGTGTACCTTTATGATACATGAAAGCCAAAAGCTAAACTTTCTGGTTGTGAGTATCGAACATTGAAATATGATTTATGTTGGTATGTCTTTTTCATATAGCAATTAATAACACGTACAATTTCTTAATTAATCCGTCACTGCCAGATATAATCTAATTTCTACCAATTTGTTGAGTTTCCGTTTAAATTTGGGCTTATGTATATATGTTAGTCGTTAAATTTAATTTAGTTTCTACTGTCGTCACTCGCTGATTACGGTACTTAATTAAATCAACAATTTAATAAGATATGTAACCTAAAATTTGTTTTTAATATAATGGATTTTTAATTCACATAATAATGTTTCTTTAATATGAATATATTAACTTAAAACTTATGAAAACTCTGGCATAGTTTTCACAGTATCGATAGTTTTACTCCGCTTAATAATTAAACAAAAAATCGGATGAATACTCTACTTGTAATTTCCAATTATAAAACAATGCTTTCAACAATAAATCAGTAAAATACACACAAAAAACTTGTGATTAATTTAATTATTAGATTTTAAAACATTAATATAGATTAGATTTGAAATTTGATATTAAAATATAGCAATAAAATATTTTCAATTGATAATGACCGTCACGCAGTAGTCGAAATGTAGGCTAAACTCTCTCTATATTCGATATTTATGACCTCAGCAACAGCAGAATTGAGGCTACTATTATTTCATCATTCAGCAGACGTCGTGCACGGAGATCTAGATTCTAGATCTAGGTCTAGAAATCTTGTATCTCTTATCATCTTATCTAATCTTGATCAAGATTTATTATTTAGATCAAGAGTCTAGTGTATAGAGATGTATAGATCTAGATCCATACACTGAATTTACATTAGATTTGATTAGAATTGGCGTTTGTTATAATTTTTAAATATTATTAATAATTAGGCCTATAGTTATAGAGATCTTAGTCTAGAATCTAGTAGTCTAGATCTAGTAGTAGTAGGATTGTGATTATAGCTTAGATTTGATTAGAATCATTGATGATACTGATACTGTCTTACTGAAATACTGAGATATAGATATAGAGTAGATCTAGAACTAGATTTAGATCTAGAAATCTAGATCTACTTATTTTTTATGAATTTGTTTTAATTAGAAAAGGTAAAAAATATTAATAATTATAAATAAGCATTACAGTTACAATAATAGAATAGCGTGTGATCGTTGGCGTGAGTAAAATCCCTACATTTAGATCTAGTCATCTAGATATAAGTCTAGATCTACATGGTCAAGGGTTCACCCTGAGTTCACATTGACTTTAATTATCAGCATACATCATAGCTTAGGGTCATTGTGACTTAATGTAAGTTAATTTATAGAATCATGCTGTGCAATTATTTATGCGTTTCTAAGTTTCTAATTTACCAATTGCATGAAAATCTTAACTGACACAAATACATTTTTAAAAAAAAGTTAAACCTAGAGTCTAGATCTAAAAGTAAATAAATAGTCGCCTATAGGCCTACAAACTACACATTCAATATTTCAAATTTTGACAAAATTAATTTAAAATACGAAACCAAAAATTCATTAAGAAATAGGCCGAGTGATTTCCTAACGTTTGTGTGTTTGGTTGTGTTTATAATAAAATACGCTCAACTGGAGGTGAATGTGAAGTGGGTAATATATTACGCTAAAAATGGAGTTTTACGGAGATCTAGATAGATTCTAGTTGAGTCTATATCTAGAATCAGTAGAATCTTCAAACATGATCAGATTAAGATTATAAAAAAACATATTCTGATGGTAGACTTAAGGAAGTATTTGAAATTACTTTATTAACTTTAACTTTGAAGGAAATATCTGCTTAAGTTAAAGCTTGTTGTGGTAGTATGTATCTGCAGCATTTTTTTTTAAAATTCATTTTATTTGTATGGTCTTGGTAATATTTCCTTTTGGAACATTGTGGTTGAGGTGTAGAGCACTCAAACTTAAAAGTCTGTTAGTGAAAGAGGCCCCACAGCCCCATATTCGATCCAGACTAGATTAGCTCAGATCATCCAGATAGGCATTTTATTTGGTAAAATCACGATATAGCGTCAACCATTCTCTGGTAATGTTTGTTGAGTTTTGGTAACATTCGGTACTGTGAACCATGGTTTATTTGACAATCAAAATTGTTTTAAGTTAATAATTTAATGTTTAATTGACAAAAAATTAGCAACAATTAGTAAATCTAAATATTAATAAAGTCGAGTGTAGTAATTAATGTTTTTTTAAGAAACACAGAAAAAAAAACCTGCAGAAGATTTGCAACAACTAGCTCTAGTCCTGTTAGTAAAATAAGACGATTAGATTTACTAAAGTTAAAAGTAGTAAGACAAACTAGAACAGTATTTAGTGGCAGCAATAATTAGTACATACACTTAAAATAATTAGAAATACAAAATAATTAGCAAAACAGTATTTAAAATGCAACTAAAATGAATCCTTGCACATTTTAAAATATGTATAAAAATAATATAGCGGCAAATAAATCATAGTTTAAAGTATTTCCGGTGGTTTCAAGAATGGCTCGACAGACTACGCCATGGTTTTACTGTTTTTTACTGCTGTACAGTTCCGGAATAATAACCAACGTTATATTTATTTAATTTTTATTTTATTTTACCCATTGGTGTGGAAAATAAAGGTGTCTGGGTACAGAAATAGACTGGCTGTGTCCGAGATGCCCGGGAAAGTTTAAAAGGGCCCAAACGTCAAATTGAAATTTCCATTGTGCATTATTTTCAATGTCAAGTTGTAGATTTTATGTATTAATATGAAGGAATGGAAATGGTAAATGAAGAAATGCCAACAAATTATTTAAAAAAAAAATCAAAACACTAATTGGACTAACAGCACCAAATTGTTTTATGGGTGCCCACTGGGATTTATCTTTGTAGACGAGTAGCCAGTCTACTCCTGCCTAGGCACAGAACTGATGAGTATCTCTTCTGCTGAAACCACATAACCAGTTTAACTCTACTTCCTCTGCCTTGTTGACTGTCATTTTTAAAACTTAACTTTTAAAAAAAATATTTCTTTAAAATTTCAATTTAAAAATTACCACCTGAGCATAATTTCAAATAGACAAAAACATCCCTATAGATTATCAGGTTATATCAGTGTAGAATAGAAAAGTTTATTTTGGTAGCAGAAATTGATAATGAGGTTTATAATTCATTTGTCTTAAACTTCAAAAAACTAAATGCTGTTGTTCTGATGTGACTGGTATTTGTACACAATATTAAGTTAGCAAATGAATGTCAAATACAATTAAAGCAATTTCATATGTTAGTCAACTTTATTGATCAAATAAATTCAATCGCATTTCTGACCAAAGTAGTTTTCTAACTTTTCAAGAGGAAAATGTAATTCGGTAAAGTCAGATAAAATAAATATGTGTGCTGTAATTAAAATATTGAAATTTTATTTCTAATCCATTTAATGTTAGATGTTATATAAACTCAACTATTTTACCATTTTACTAGGATATTTCTAGCTGATTCCATAACAAAATTCTAACTTAAGGCATTCTTCAATGAAACAAAAAAAAATTCTTTTAAGATACAAGAATCATTAATTAAGACACTATCATCATATTTTTATATATTCAATCCATTGTAATACATTTTCTACTTTCATGTATTTTCAGGTCATAAAACTAAATAAATTATTTGAGGACCCTTGAAAAAGTATTTGACTGGGTGTTTCAGGTCACAAGCTTGGCCAACGTCAGACATCACAAGCTCAGCCAACATCAGACATCACAAGCTCAGCCAACATCAGACATCACAAGCTCAGCCAACATCAGACATCACAAGCTCAGCTAACATCAGACATCACAAGCTCGGCCAACATCAGACATCACAAGCTCAGCCAACATCAGACATCACAAGCTCAGCCAACATCAGACATCACAAGCTCAGCCAACATCAGACATCACAAGCTCAGCCAACATCAGACATCACAAGCTCAGCCTACATCAGACATCACAAGCTCAGCCAACATCAGACATCACAAGCTCAGCTAACATCAGACATTACAAGATCAGCCAACATCAGACATCACAAGCTCAGCCAACATTAGACATCACAAGCTCAGCCAACATCAGACATCACAAGCTCAGCCAACATCAGACATCACAAGCTCAGCCAACATCAGACATCACAAGCTCAGCCAACATCAGACATCACAAGCTCAGCCAACATCAGACATCACAAGCTCAGCCAACATCAGACATCACAAGCTCGGCCAACATCAGACATCACAAGCTCAGCCAACATCAGACATCACAAGCTCAGCCAACATCAGACATCACAAGCTCAGCCAACATCAGACATCACAAGCTCAGCCAACATCAGACATCACAAGCTCAGCCTACATCAGACATCACAAGCTCAGCCAACATCAGACATCACAAGCTCAGCTAACATCAGACATTACAAGATCAGCCAACATCAGACATCACAAGCTCAGCCAACATTAGACATCACAAGCTCAGCCAACATCAGACATCACAAGCTCAGCCAACATCAGACATCACAAGCTCAGCCAACATCAGACATCACAAGCTCAGCCAACATCAGACATCACAAGCTCAGCCAACATCAGACATCACAAGCTCAGCCAACATCAGACATCACAAGCTCAGCCAACATCAGACATCACAAGCTCAGCCAACATCAGACATCACAAGCTCAGCCAACATCAGACATCACAAGCTCAGCCAACATCAGACATCACAAGCTCAGCCAACATCAGACATCACAAGCTCAGCCAACATCAGACATCACAAGCTCAGCCAACATCAGACATCACAAGCTCAGCCAACATCAGACACAACAAATGGGTGCCTAATATGTCACCAGGTCAAATGGTAAGTTTATATACATTATTCCATTGTGCATATTTAGATATAAATGAAAATTTCATTAATGTTAAAACCTAATTTTTAAACATACTTAAATATATTGTTAATTCTTTTACTTTAGTTAAACTAATTTAAAATTATATTCACCTAATATATTTTGACCCTCTGTAAATTTTACACGTCTATATTTGTATCCTTCTGTTTGACAGTTAATAAAAAAATAAAGAATTTAGTACAGAAATCAGGGCAATGCACACAATGATTTTATAGTGGAATTCTGAAGGTTAGAGTTTTAAAATAAGCTTTATAGCATAACCAGATTAGTGGTGGTATGCTGGTGACAAGAGCATATGTATCGGTTGTGAAAACTAATTACTTTTAATTAATAAATCTAAACTTAAACAATTTACATTTTAAATGCATCACTCAGAGAATCATTTTAAACATTTTTAATCGTTGAATGGCATAAAATGTATTGTACCAGCAAAACTTGCGAACATTTTATGTACCAAATATCAAAGTTTTTAAAAATGTCCTAACTAATCACATAACATTTAAGTACAATTTTACTTAATAATTTAAAACAATTGACACAAATAAAAAGTAATTGTTAATTTATAGAACTGTTATATTGTTTAACTCACAAGTTTTAATTTAAAAAAACACTCAAATGATGGTAACTAAATCAAGGGTAACATGTCTCACAGTTTGATATAAATATTTAAAATAATGTATGAGATGTGTCAAAGAGTTTTTAAAATAAAGTAAATATACATGTACTGTCAAGCTTGCTTCTCTGTCTGATTTTGTAACTTATAAGTGTGTTTAGGGTGGGGGGGGGGGGGGGACTAGCTGACAATATTGTATACATTATTACATTATTCATATGCTCTGTAATCAATTCATTTTTTTTTTCAGATTACAGAAAGAAAAATTCTATACATGGCTGAAACACAAACTGAACCAGGCTTTATACCAGGTAAGATATTTTTAGGTAGGAAATATTTTCAATAGTGATGTTTTGATATTATAAATGATCTCACTTTGTACCATACTATGTTTATTTGTTAGATTACAGCTAAACTTTTCTTTCAATAAATTACCTCCCCTTGTATCTCTCCAGGACATCATGAAGCCGAGATCTGCTATGGAGGTGAAGCTGACTTACACAAGCACTATACCGGCTGTAAGAAGAATCCAGGTCATGTCAACTTTATACCTGTTAATGATTTCAACTTGGATCATCTCCCCTGGCTTTACCGTGACGTCATCATGATGGAGGTAATCAAAGCTTTGTCTGCCCTAACGGTCCTGATAAAGGTCAAGTACACCAGTCTAGAGAGACCAAAGTCTGTTCCATGCTTCAGTGGTCAGTATCCATTTTATAACACCAGAGGAAGTGACGTGTTGAGGACAGGGACGGGGAGGGTGTATCGTGTGGTCAAGTACACAGAGAGTGACAACAAGGGCATTTGTCCATGTGACAAGTGTCAACACTCTGACACACCCAGCAAAGTGTGGGGGGAGGTTTGTGTGTTGACAGCCACACACGTGGTGTTTGATGACAGTGAGGCGAGACAGACCAGGTGTGTTGTAGGTTTTGATGACAATAAAAGTCCTGGGGTCAGTTTTGATGGCTGGGGGGTGAGGAGGGCAGACATTGAGGGAGACGGGTGTTTGTTTACATGTGTGTCATGTGACTTAGAGTTGGTTGTTGAACTGGACAAGATGTGTAAGCACTTGGATGATCTACGTAGGAAAGTAAGGGACAAATACGGGAGATTTGATAATGTGGACAAGTTGACCGTTATAGTGTCACATCCTCATGGCTGTCCTAAACAGGTCTCTGTAGGACGATGGACACGCAAACATGAGAGGGATGGTTGGCACAAGTACACGTACACAACATGTACATGTCCTGGCTCCAGTGGTGCACATGTCTACATGCCGGGATATGGCAGGTGGTATTGCCGTCCCCACAGTGGATCAAACTCTGAAGGAAATTATTGTGGGGTGTTGTTGTATTGATCCATCTGTAACCATTGGTTCTCTCCCCTTGTCTAATGTAACTGTTGGTTCTCTCCCCTTGTCTAATGTAACTGTTGGTTCTCTCCCCTTGTCTAATGTAAACAAACAAAATGGCGGCTCCCTTAATTAAACTTGTGTGTGTCAAGACTTGAATGTCTTCATCAGCAACTTTGTATTCTGGTGAAGACAAGAAATAAATTGTTTAGTTCCTTTCAGTCATTTGTTTAGAGTTGTTAGACACATAAACAAAATTATAAACAAATGTTAATTGCTGCAAACGTGTATTTTGTTGCTTATTAATTAATCATTAAAATTAATCTGTATGAACTTTGTATATTTCATTTGTACATTTTTCTTTCAATAATTAATTAACTGTTTGTATTGATGTCAATAAAGTTTTAGAAGATTTCAGAGTTTCTTTCATTCATTTTGTTATCGTTGATAATCTTAACGTTTTGTGTTGATGATAAACAAAACACGATGGTAGTGGAGAGAAATGTCGGAAGTCAAGTTTGTAGCTGAGACTTAATGTCGGCAGTCAAGTTTGTAGCTGAGACCTTATGTCGGCAGTCAATTTTGTAGCTGAGACTTAATGTCGGCAATCAAGTTTGTAGCTGAGACTTAATGTCGGCAGTCAAGTTTGTAGCTGAGACTTAATGTCGGCAGTCAAGTTTGTAGCTGAGACCTTATGTCGGCAGTCAATTTTGTAGCTGAGACTTAATGTCGGCAATCAAGTTTGTAGCTGAGACTTAATGTCGGCAGTCAAGTTTGTACTTGAGACTTAATGTCGACAGTCAAGTTTGTAACTAAAACGTAACTGTGTAACAAACCTCACAATGTAATTAGTTTAGCCCATGATGAAGATACCCGTAGTGACGTTATGACATTTTGTACACAAATGTGAAGTGATATTAATGTGTTGTGTACCAGACAGTAAACTCTACCAAATTTTGTCTTGAGATATTGTAGATGATCCATATATCAAATTTAACGGGAACAGGGCATTACTCCCCCCCCCCCGCCCGTTAATTACCCTCGGATATTCCCGAAACATTACAACCCCTGGGTTATTACCCCCAAGTTAATTACCCCCGCCCAGTAGAACATCCCCCCCTCCGGTTATTGCTTAAGGTACAGCTAGGGTTAGGGATAGCGCTAGGTGTAAGGTTAGTGTTAGGTTTTGTTGAAGTGAATACCTAGGTTTTGGTATTTTTCTTAAAGCTAGGATTAACGTAATATAGGTAAAAATTTGCAGTTAGGGTCAGGATTCTATCTTGGTGGGGGGTGGGGCGGGGATTAATTTCCCTTGGGGGTAATTGACAGGGTGGTTATGGCTCCGGGGGGGGGGGGATAATAAGGGGGTAATATCCAGGAGGAGGGGGTAATTCACGGGGGCGGGGGTTAATGTCCTAGACCCAAATTTAACATCTATAATAATAGTTTCGCTGTCTCTCTATCTATCTATCTGTCTGACAAGAACGCTCTAGAGAAAAGACAAGCAATTTAAAAACATGCACAGTAATTCGAAAAACGAAGTATGACGTCGACACATTTAGCACAGAGTAGAAAATAATCTCAAACCCAGAGAGTGCTCACAGTTATATGACGTCATTGATTTTCGCGTTAACATTGAATAAAAAGGAAATGTTGTCTAATCTTAATGGTTTGCGTGAAGAGTTTCTTGCATACAATTCTTCGGGTAGGGGCGAAGCCCCACCCCCCGCGTAAGAACGTCTGAGCCCCCCCCCCCTCCCCAACTCAAAAGAAATTTCTTCATCGATACTCTATAATAAAATTACCGCCTAATTAATGTGTCTAATCTAAAAAGTGGTTTTCTTGCAATTTCTTTAATGCAATTCTTCGGGTAGTGGCTAAGCGCGACACCAGTGTTTCTTTCAGACTTTTTCCTCCCCGGAGAGGGGTGGGGGTAGTTGAAATTTTCGAGGGCGGGGTTAGAATTTTCGGGGAGGGGGGGCGGACACTGGAAAAAGTATATAATTATATTTCGTTGAATGGGACGGTAGACATGTTTTTTTTGGGAGTGGGGGGGGGGGGGGGGGGGGGGGTGGGGGGGGAGGTGTGAGTGGGGGGTGGGTGGGGCGGTGGTTTCCTCATCGATACTCTATAATAAAATTACCGCCTAATTAATGTGTCTAATCTAAAAAGTGGTTTTCTTGCAATTTCTTTAATGCAATTCTTCGGGTAGTGGCTAAGCGCGACACCAGTGTTTCTTTCAGACTTTTTCCTCCCCGGAGAGGGGTGGGGGTAGTTGAAATTTTCGAGGGCGGGGTTAGAATTTTCGGGGAGGGGGGGCGGACACTGGAAAAAGTATATAATTATATTTCGTTGAATGGGACGGTAGACATGTTTTTTGGGGGGTGGGGGTGGGGTGGGGGTGGGTGGCGGTGGGTGGGGTGGGGGGGGGCTGGTGTGTGGGGTGGGTGGGGGTGGTGTGTGTGTGTGGGGGGGTGGGTTGGTTTTAGTTTAGAGAAAAGAGACAGCACTATCAACCTAGCGCCCGGTGTATCCTTCCTCAACGGGCCATTTTTCTCGTACATTAATACGTACATAAGACATGATTTATTTCTGACGTACGCTATTATGGAAAGAGATTCTCTGACACACTTAGACGTGTGTGGCTGGACCTACGGGATGCGACTAAACATCCCCACATTACATTTAATGTCAACATGCTTATCTTCGATTGAAAACATCGGCCTATGGCTTGTAGTAGTAGTAGAGGATATAGTAAGCCAGTCGTACGTTTCATTGTTATAAATCCTCAACGTAAGTTACTTTCTTCGCTGATAGTAACAGTGTATTAATAACATACAACTATTAGGTTGATTTGTAAGTTAAATATTTGTTGAATTAATTTTTGTTTATAGTATGTTATTGAAAAGCCATTAGATTTCACCCATATCTTCCCCTCTCTTAATGTAGTTGTTAGGGAAAAATAAATAATGGGTTATTTTATATTTTGGATTAGTAATAAAACTAACATCATCTGTTTTTATTACTAATAGAATTTACCTCCTGCAGCTACAATTTGTATTTATTATTTGAAATATGGCCACTAAATCGGATTTTGGTCTAAGGGAAATAACAATGAAAATAAATAATGTTACATTTTTGTACACAGTTGTCTACCTTATTCCGCATTTTGCAAAATTGAATTTTTAGATTATACATCTAGAAACGAAGAGACATCTATTACGATAGTTATGTTTGAATTTTGTAATTTCTTAAATTTGTAAAAACTTGGATATAAAATTGACAATTTGCATGTACCATATACTACATCTTGAGCTTATTACAATATGTATTTATTTGAAGATCTCTTTTAAACAGCATATAACTATAACTTTACTTAAATTCTCTGAAGCTTTTGACATAAAAATTATATATGCATATTTAAACTAAAGACAGGGACACTTGAAAAAATGAAAAAGAAAAATCTTATCAAGAAGGATGTGGTAAGGTGTCTGAATGCAAAAATCCAATACGTAAACCAGGTGATGGTTCTCACGATGACGATTGTCTTACAACATCATTTGTCAATAGGGGTTACAGCAACAAAGTAGTCTGCACATTGTACAGTGACAAAATAGTCTACACATTGTACAGCAACAAAATAGTCTACACATTGTACAGCAACAAAGTAGTCTGCACATTGTACAGCAACAAAGTAGTCTGCACATTGTACAGTGACAAAGTAGTCTGCACATTGTACAGTGACAAAGTAGTCTGCACATTGTACAGTGACAAAGTAGTCTGCACATTGTACAGTTACAAAGTAGTCTGCACATTGTACAGCAACAAAGTAGTCTGCACATTGTACAGTGACAAAGTAGTCTGCACATTGTACAGTGACAAAGTAGTCTGCACATTGTACAGCAACAAAGTAGTCTGCACATTGTACAAAGGCAATGGAAGCAAATAAAAAAAAATACAGGTTGAAATCGGAATCAACGGCGTATATGGCACAAAACAAGTTGACACGTAATACTTAATTGTGTTTTGGGGGGGGGATAACCTTCCAAAATTACGATTAAGAAAAAAGAGACAGAAACAGAAATTACGGGTTTAATAAAAAAAAAAAACTGAAAACAGGCATCTTGATGATAAACATTGTCAAAAAATTTGTTTGATTCTGGCTGTTCTCCTGAGAAATTCTAAGAGAAACAAAGAAAAGCGAGATATATCTATTGATACATCTATTGAACATGGTGACCTTTGCTTTCTGTAGCTCTGCCTATATTATTGTCTTAGCTGATGCGGGGGAAACACGCTATATTTATTTTAGAAAGCTAATCGTCTCTATAGTCCGACGAAAATTCGCCTAACTAGTGGTCAGCATAAGTATTCAACAGAGGGCAAATGAAGGCGTCTATTTACCACACGACTGATACATTTTACGTTACTTTACGTTATTATTTCTGTTGTTGTTGGATGTGGGATGAAAGTGATGAGTGTCATCACAAAATCGCTCAGACGGAGACAGAATTTTTTTTTCTTATTTCGTTTAACGGGTAAACAATTTTAAGTACATGATATATCATGGTTGGAACTTGAAAAGTTTAAATTTGTAGAAATGCTTTTGGGTTTTTAAAACATTCATTAGCTAAGCTATCACACACTTTTCAAATCGATAACAACAATGTACAATATCTGTGATCAAGTGTGATGTTGTGAGGTTCAACATAGTCTGTGTCAGTTGTGTCTGCCATAGTTAACCCATTGTTCGTCAGAAAAGTAGTTGTTGAATTTTTAATAATAATTTGTCTTGGCCAACTTCCGACTCATTCTTCCTCATCATTATCTGTCCCCGCTCGTGCCCATGACACACGGGGCAGGTCAAGTAGAGTTCATCTGTTTCAAGAGTCTCGGAATACATGGGGATACTGTGATCGATTTTCATAACGTGTCAGATACCCATCAGATTAGATTTGCAGAGCGTTTATTTTAAAGAAAATATTGCACTTATCTCCTGGTCTCTTAGAGACATTTGGCACATATACTAAAACAAGACGACTGTCAGTTTAATGCACTCTGCTTTCTGCCTAACTTTCCTGTAGTCTAGGACCGTCTTATTTCTGTCAGCTTTTTTTTTGTTTGCCCATAGATTGAAAGGTTTCTCAAAATATGTTGCTTATTGTATACCATAAATTAAAATTAAATTTTATTAACATTATGTGAATCATAAGGGTAAGCAGACATACAGATACCGATTTTACAATCAGCTTTATTAAAATTGCACACTTAAAAAAAATTAAAAACACACTTACACAGATATATAGCCTATATATATATATATATATATATATATATATATATATATATATATAATGAATACGGCACTGCGGATGTTTTCATGTGTGGTGTGTTTGTGTACAATACTGTACAATAAATAATCTAAAACTAAAAAGAGTTGTTGCTATTGTAAACAATGATTAGATAACGAGTTGGTTGTGGGCTGTTCCAACTCATTGTGTATGGACAGATGTATTTCAGGCTCATTTAGAGTAATTTCTAATCAAAACAGCACATCGTTTATCCCTAACCAAATTGTAAATCAGAAATTTAAACTTAGGTACTCGCATTTAAACAACAGGTCTTTACCGGTGTTAATAACTTGTTATCAAAATTTCAAAAGTAGCGGCACTTTGCTTTCAAGAACTCGATTTCATTGCAAATTGCTGTTGTTTTATGAAGTTTTCCATTAAGGCATTTTGTAAGATATTATGCTGGTAGTGGACACAAAATGATTACGTCTATACTAAGATTGGTCGTTTATTTGTCGAGAGCCAATATATCGAAAGTCCATTTGTCGTAAGCCAATATAACGGGAGCCTATATGTCGGAGGTTAATATCTCGGTAGTCTATTTGACAGTAGCCAATATATCAAGGCCTTTTAGTCGGGGCTATTTTCACTGTGTCGTTTTGTCGGTGCATCGATCTGGAATACATGTTACAGCAACAGTTGCCAGTTTGGAAAAAATGCAAAAAAATAAATATCTAGGACTAAAGAAGACCTACATCGGCTCTTATATGAACTCAAGTGACCCCATGCACGTATGACATACGGCTCTTGCTCACACTATGACCTATGTTAAAGCTCACCTGTGAGTGTGTTGGCCCTAAAGTTAGATACCAAGTTATATGACACCTTTTAGCACAAATCTTATGGGTCTCTTTTGTAAGCATAGACGAAAAGTTAACAAAAAAATCCATCTTTGTGAAAAAAATAGTGCTTAAGGAGTAGGTTTAACTAGGAGGGGAGGGGTCGGTTCGTGTATAAATGACGTCACACTCCTTTGAGAAGGGATTCGGTCTTGACGTGTGATAACTATCTACATCTGATGATATCGCCCCCGCACACTAAAGTGTATTCTTGATTATTGGATGGAAATATATTCATTAATTTCGTTAAAACAAAAACGGTGTGATATCGATATTAACAATTTTAATGTTTTAGAAAAAAATGTTTTCTCGCGTACTTTAGAAATGTAGGCTAAGTTACTTCTTTTTTTTAGAACCGGGAAAACTAATTCTTAAAATTAAGTCACGTGATTAAGGAAAACCAATAAAATGAAAATAGACTTTATATTACTTCCCAGTTAGTGTAGTCTATTTGCCTGTACCATTGAGGACAACGATACCTCAAAGTCAAAAGCTGAACTTTTTATTTGTGAGTATCGAACGTTAAAATAAGTTTTATATTGATATTTCCAGAAGGACGTTATATGTAGCTATTAATAGCACGAACAATTTCTTATTCAATCCTTCACTGTAAAATATAATATAATTTCTTCCAATTTGTTGAGTTTCCGTTTAAATTTGGGCTTATGTAGGCCTATATATGTTAGTCGTTAAATTTAGTTAAGTTAATTTAGTTTAATTAAATCAACAATTTTATAAGAGATGTAACCTAAAATTGGTTTTAATATAATGGAATTTTAATTCACATAATGATTTTTGTCATAAAAGCATGATTAGGCTTTTATGTCAAGGTGACAGATTGAGACAAAGCTATTTCCTAGGTTATCTAAAGAGTTATTTGTGTATATAAATAGCCAGTGATATCTAAATATTTGTTTCTTTGAAATAATATATTTTGCCTCGGACAAAGAAAAAAGTATTAACTTTATGACAAATTATAAAAGAAATTCAAATGTGGCAAATTTGATATGAATATATTAGCTTAAATCTTATGAAAACTCTGGCATAAATAATTAATCCAAAGTCGGAAAAATACTCTACTTGTAATTTCCTAATGTAAAACTTTGCGTTCAGCAACAGTAAATAAATAAAATACACAAAAAAACTTGTGATTAATTTAAGTATTAAATTTTAAAAACATGAATATAGATTAGCTTTGAAATTTGATATTAAACATAGCATTAAAATATTTTAATTGATAATGACTGTCGCGCAGTAGTCGAAATGTTGGCTAAACTCTATATTCGATATTTATGACCTCAGCAACAGCAGAATTGAGGCTCTTATTTCATCATTCAGCAGACGTCGTGCACATATTTTACTTTATGTATAATTAATCTAGATTCAAGATCTAAATCTAGAAAAAATTCCTATATAAGTTTATACCAGTGTATGTGAGAAATGTTTATTTTGGTTGCAAAAGTTTATTATGAAGTAGATAATTCATTTGTCTTAAACTTATACATTTTGGCTGTAAAGTGGCTGGTATTTTTACACAATATTTTATTAGCTTATGAACAGAGTTCCTTCCAGGCATCTCTTCGGGGGGGGGGGGGGGGGGGGGCTCTGACCCCCTGAAAAAAGTCTACCGCCCCCCCCCCAACAAAAAAAAATAGAGAAAATATTTACTTTTAACAGTGTCCGCCCCCTCCCCCAGACATTTTAATCCGCACCACCCCTCCCCCCCACCCCCGAAGAATAAAAGTCTTGAAGAATCACTGCTTATGAAAATCAAATACAATTAAAGCCATTTAATATTTTAGTCAGCATTGTTAATTAAATAAATGTAATCACATTTATAACATCGTTCCTAACTTTTCAAGATGAAATGTACTTTGTTTAAGTCAGATAAAATAATTCTGTGTGCTGTAATTAAAATATTTTATATTTTAATTTCTGTACTTTAATATTAGACGTTAAATAAAGTCACCTAGATTACCATTCGACTAGGATATAGTTGATTCAACAAAAACTAACTCGATGCATTTGTCTATTCTTTGATGAAAAAAAAAAACTTCTAAAATACAACATTCATTAATAAAGACAATATCATTATATTTCCACTCATTTCAATCCAGTGTACTACATTTTCTACTTTCATGTATTTTCATGTCATAAAACTAAATAAATTATTTGAGGACCCATGCAAAAGTATTTGACTGGGTGTTACAGGTCACAAGCTCAACCAACATCAGACATCACAAGCTCAGTCAACATCAGACATCACAAGCTCAGCCAACATCAGACATCACAAGCTCAGCCAACATCAGACATCACAAGCTCAGCCAACATCAGACATCACAAGCTCAGCCAACATCAGACATCACAAGCTCAGCCAACATCAGACATCACAAGCTCAGCCAACATCAGACATCACAAGCTCAGCCAGCATCAGACATCACAAGCTCAGCCAACATCAGACATCACAAGCTCAGCCAACATCAGACATCACAAGCTCAGCCAACATCAGACATCACAAGTTCAGCCAAAAACTGAGACAACAAATGGTTGCCTCATATGTCACTATAAAGCTAGGTCAATGGTAAGCTTATACTAGGTAGTGCAAACTGGCGAAAAAGTGCGTTTTAGGGTCAGTTTTTGCGGTTTTCAAAAAAAAAATTTCACTACTTCTAGTTGTCCTATAAGAATAAAAATTATATGTCAATAAAGTTTAAGTCTTTATCTGTCTTAATCTGGTATTTTTATATCTGTAACACATGTTTGAATGTGTTTTATATTTGTTTGAAAAGTATCAGTTACGTCAACAAATTTCACCGTTTTGCGTGTACCGATCGACCCCACACTGTTTTATTTAGTCGCGGCTTCGCGACGAAGCATCGTAGAAGCATAATCTTAATGTCATTTTAAAGATCGAATTCTAGGCTATCGTTTGATGTATAAATTGAAAAAATAACTTGTTTATTTCATTTTAAAAATACAGATTTTAAACTTTAAATGACGATATATACACGGAAACAAACTAATTCTGTTTCAATTTTTACACCGATGTAAAGTTCAGTTTTATAACTACTTTGTGTTGTAAATTCAAGTATTTCTGATTTACGGTCGCGAAGCCGTACCCCCAATAAATATATAACCCTCGAGTCGACTTTTAGCCCCGAGTAAGTTGCTCGCCGAACGGTTTTAAAGGTTGACGACCGATGATGCTAAACGGATTTTACCCTTGCTAGAGCCTTCAAACAAGTTGTAAGTATCATTTTTAAAGTTTCATTTCCATTTTAATAAATGAATTTTAAGTTTGAATGTCAGTTTGGTTTAATTAGTACACGTTATTAATGTAAATTTGAACGCTACAAGTCCACAGTTTTAGCGTGTGAACTACGCTTGTACACAGGGTGTGTTTAGACGTGAAGCTATTTAATTCAGGACATTCTAGGGACTTGAAATATTGATGCACTTAACTATTAGATGCTAGTGTTTACTAATTCTTTAAAATCTATTGACTGGGATCAATGATAGGGTCGTATTACTACAGTTTATCTGGACTATCACGTCAAAATTATGAATCGACAAATTCAAAATGGCCACCAGACTATCCTGGTTACTATGTGGACGAACTCAATTATTTACAGGGAACGAAGGTTAAATACTTATAAAATACTAATGAAACACAAAAGAAATTTATAATTATAATAACTATACATTTTTATCAATGTATTTAAAACAAAAGACACTAAATTTGAAGGACTAATGTGATTAATTTTTTTATTTTCTGTTGTGCACTCTGATTCTGATTCCCCTGCTGAATAATGTGAAATGGTCTGCGCCAGTCTCCTTAATAAAATGTACCAGATCAATTTTTAGATGGTTGTGCAATTTATTAAGATTGTACATGTTGTGACTTAGTTTAAATGTTATATTAGCTGTAAGTGTAAGTAGTACTAGTAGTATTTCTCATTATTTATTTATTTTATATGCATATAATAGTAACAATGAAGGACAGTTAAGTTGCCCTATAGGATGTTGAGAACCACAGTATGGCATCTTCATCATTGGATATCTCAACCATTGTGGGACAAGCAACGATTATTTCAAATTTCATTCAGTAGAATTACTCTTAAAAATATATATAAAAAATATAAATTACTTTTAACAAAAAGGTGTTTTCAGGCTTTTTCATGTTCCCAGTTATAGTCATAGGACAAATAGTAGGCCTACACAATAGGCTAGTAGTAAATTTAATTATATTTTATTAATCACTAAATCAATTGTTCGTTCCATAGCTGGAGACATTTACGGTGGCCTATCCAGAACTTTCCTTACAAGGGAAGGGAAGAAGGCCAAGACCCCACTCCCCCCTCCCCCCTACTATTCCCAAAACATATTACTTACTCTTGATGCTCCACAAGATCAAGGTTGAGGGAAACAAGACGTACAAAGATGTTCCCCCAAAACTGTTCCCCCAAAGCAGTTATCAGGTTTGAAAAGAAACCAAAGCATGTGGCATCAACTGCTGCATCACTTGTAGGCATCACGTCTTTATTAAACTACATTACATTACATTTACTCTACTAAATTTTGATTCTTTTTCTCCTGCACTAGATAACTGTGGTATTTTTTAAAATAATATTTTAACTCATGTGATTTTTGAAAATAATTAACACATTTTTCCACGTCGATGTTACCAACACAATAATTTAAGAGTTATTCCAAAGCAAAAAAAAAATTGAATTTTTTTTTTTTTTTATGAAAATAAAAAGTGACCAAAACGCATTTTTGTCATTTTCAATTATTTTTTTACCTTAGAAAGACTCATTTTAGATGACTGAAAAAAATTGAGCATATATATTACAAACTTTGCAGCAACTTTACCAATTTCCACAATTCTATGTTATTTAGTTTAAAAAATACGGGTTCTCAAAAATGGCACTTTTTGAAAATCAGTTTTTTACCAAATTTTGCTTTTTTAAAAATCGCATAACTTTTTTATTTATTGAAATATTTTTATAAAATTTGTGGCATAGACCTTACAATTAAAAGTTCTTTCATGACATACTCACTCCAGAAGTCTGCAATCAATAGTTAATTTCAGTTTGGACTACCTACTTATACATTATTCCATAGTGCATATTTAGATATTTGGCATTAAAAATGAGAATTTCATTAATATTAAAACCTGATTTTTAAAAATACTTTAAAATATGGTTAATTTTTTTTTTACTTAAGTTAAATAAATTTAAAACTGTTTCTTAATATATTTTGCCCCTTCGTATATCTTTACATGTTTACATTTTTATTCTTCAGTTTAAGAGTTAGTGAAGAAATATAGCATTCAGTAAGAAAAATCAGGACAATAAACACAATGATTTTGAAGTAGAATTTTGAATGTTTGAATTTTAAAATTTTAAAAAATAAGTTTTACAGCATAAACAGATGACGTAATTAGTGAGTGGTGGTATGCTGTTGCCAAGAGCTTCTGTATCTGTTGTGAAAACTAATTCCTTTTAATTAAATCTAAACTTAAACAATTCATGTATATTTTCAATGCTGATCACTCAGATAATCTTTATTAAGCTGAAATCATTTCAAACATTTTCAATTGTTGAATGACATAAAATTAAAATGTATTGTACCAGCAAAACTTTTCACATATCAGTAAACAAAGTTATCAAAGTTTAAAAAATATGCCTAACTAATCACCTAACATAAAGTACAATTTAATTTTGCTTAATAAATTAAAACAATTGACACAATTAAAAGGAATTGTTAATTTATATAACTTTTATATTGTTCCACTCCTAAGTTTTATTTTTAAAAATACTCAAATTATTGTAACTAAATCAAGATTAATACGTCTCACAGTTTCATATAATTTAAATATTGTATGAGATGTGTCAAAGAGTTTTTAAAAGAAATTAAATATACATATACAGTCAAGCCTGTTTCTCAATCTGATATTGTAACATATAAGTGTGTTGGGAGAGAGGGGGTTGGGGGTGGCTTGCTGACATAATTGCATACATCATTCACAGGCTGTGTAATCAATTCAAATTTAATTTCACATTAAAGAAAGTACAATTCTAAACATGGCTGAAACATACAGTGAACCTGAATTTGTACCAGGTAAGATATTTTTAGGTAGGAAATATTTTCAATAGTTAAGTTTTAATATTATAAATGATCTTCCATTGTAGCTATATATGTTAATATATTACATTACAGTTTAGTCTTTCTTTCAATAAATTCTCTCCCCTTGTGTCTCTCCAGGACATCATGAAGCCGAGATCTGCTATGGAGGTGAAGCTGACTTACACAAGCACTACACTGACTGTAAGAAGAATCCCGGTCATGTCAACTTTATACCTGTTAATGATTTTAACTTGGATCATCTCCCCTCACAATACCGTGACGTCATCATGTTGGAGCTAATCAAAGCTTTGTCTGCCCTAACGGTCCTGATAAAGGTCAAGTACACCAGTCTAGAGAGACCAAAGTCTGTTCCATGCTTCAGTGGTCAGTATCCATGTTATAACATCAGAGGAAGTGACGTGTTGAGGACAGGGACGGGGTGGGTGTATCATGTGGTCAAGTACACAGAGAGTGACAACAAGGGCACTTGTCCATGTGGCAAGTGTCAACACTCTGACACACCCAGCAAAGTGTGGGGGGAGGTTTGTGTGAGGACAGCCACACACTTGGTGTTTGATGACAGTGAGGCGAGACAGACCAGGTGTGTTGTAGGTTATGATAATAATAAAAGTCCTGGGGTCAGTCTTGATGGCTGGAGGGTGAGGGTGGTAGACATTAAGGGAGACTGCTGTGAGTTTACATGTGTGTCATGTGACTTAGAGTTGCTTGATGAACTGGACAAGATGTGGCGGCACTTGTATGATCTATGTTGGAAAGTAAGGGACACAATCGCGATATTTGATGCTGACTATTTTACCGTTATAGTGTCACATCCTCATGGCTGTCCTAAACAGGTCTCTGTAGGACAATGGACATACAGACATGTGAGGAGAGTTTTGACCACCACCAAGTGCAAGTACACGTACACAACGTGTACATGTCCTGGCTCCAGTGGAGCGACTGTCTACATGGTGGGATATGACGGGTGGTGGTCGTCACTGGCCCACAGTGGATCAAACTCTAAAGGAAATTATTGTGGGGAGTGTATGTAGCTATTAGTTCACTCCCCTTGTCTAATGTAAACAAACAAAATGGCGGCTCTCTTCATTAAACTTGTGTGTGTCAAGACTTGAATGTCTTCATCAGCAACTTTGTATTCTGGTGAAGGCAAGAAATAGTTTAGTTTTTTAAATATCATTTGTTTAGACTTGTTAGACACATAAACAAAATTATAAACAAATGTTTATTGTTGAGAAATAAAATATTTATAGGCTACACTTGTATCTTTGTTTTGTTTAAACCTCCACATTAGATTTTTCATCGCCATCATTGTCTTTATACTATAATTCATATTTGTATTTGTTTACAAAACTGTATTGATGTCAATAAAGTATTATCAGATTTCAAAGTTTTTTTCATTCATTTTGTTATCGTTGATAATCTTTATGTCTTGTATTGATGATAAACAGGATGGTAGTGAAGAGAAATGTCGGCAGACAAGTTCGTAGCTGAGACTTAATGTCGGCAGTCAAGTTTGTAGTTGAGACTAAATGTCGGCAGTCAAGTTTGTAGCTGAGACTTAATGTCGGCAGTCTAGTTTGTAGCTGAGACTTAATGTCGGCAGTCAAGTTTGTAGTTGAGACTAAATGTCGGCAGTCAAGTTTGTAGCTGAGACTTAATGTCGGCAGTCAAGTTTGTAGCTGAGACTTAATGTCGGCAGTCAAGTTTGTTGACTTAATGTCGACAGTCAAGTTTGTTGACTTAATGTCGGCAGTCAAGTTTGTAGCTGAGACTTAATGTCGGCAGTCAAGTTTGTTGACTTAATGTCGACAGTCAAGTTTGTTGACTTAATGGCGGCAGTCAAGTTTGTAGCTGAGACTTAATGTCGGCAGTCAAGTTTGTAGCTGAAACTTTATGTCCGAATATGGCATACGACATACGGTGCTAATCCAAGTTTTGTCTGCCCTAACGGCCCTGCTCCATGTTTTAGTGATCAGAATTTATTTTATAACACCAAAGAAAGTGATATTTTGAGGACAGTGCCATAAAAGGTTGTGGCGAGTGATCAAATAAAGAATGACGATAAGGGCACTTGTCCATGTGGCAAGTGGCAACACTCGGACACACCCAGCAAAGTGTGGGGGGGGGAGAGGTTTGTGTGGTGACAGCCACACACTTAGAGTTTGATGACAATGAGGCGAGACAGACCAGGTGTGTTGTAAGTTGTAGGTTTTGATGAAAATAAAAGCCCTGGGTAATTTATGATGGCTGGAAGGTTGGGAATGCAAAGACTAAGAGAGACATGGGCGAAACTACCATACCATCAGACCGCTTTTATTATCACCAAATTCATTTAAAAAAAAATTATTTAAATTTTTTTTATTTTCCCCTTGGTTTTTAACCCACGGTGGAACGGAAGCCGAGTTCTCTTTCTCCTATTACCAAATTATTTGGAAAAAAAAATCAAAGCCCATACCTTGAGAGGTCGCTAGATCATGTAGACGACCATCCCAAATTCAAAAGTTTCGATGATAAAGTACTTGAGGTCTTTGATGTGTCCATTTCAAGTCCGCCCCCCCCCCCACCCTTTTAGCCTCACAAGTAGTGTATAGTATAGATCATGGAATCCTAAACTGTGAGTCGAGATCCCCAGGGGGGGGGGGGGGGGGGGCGCGAACTGGTTTACTAAACCAAACAAAAAATTCTCTAAACAATTTTATAGTTTAAAGTTTTTAATGTTGTCTTGAAGTTTGAGTACTTTCACATTAAACAACGAAACACGGAGTGATTCCTTGGAATACTTCTATACTATACTTTTTAAATTTTTACTTTCTCGTATACGAAGTATAGAGGAAGTATTGTAATAGTGCAAAAAATCGAAATCACGATTGTCACAAATCTCTACGTTTTACACCTCACTGAGTAGGAGAAATAGTTTTGCAATTAGTCCGTATGTCTATGTGTGTATGTGTATTTGTCTGTGAACACGATAGCTTAAGTAGCGTTACAGCTAGTTTGATGAAATTATATATACGAGCCGACCCGCGGAGTATCATACGCCGCTATTTAGTTGTTTTTTCTACTTTTCAGTAATTCATAATTTGTGAATTCGACAGTACCAATGCTGCCACTGAAAATATTTGCTTTAAAACACTAAACCCCCATTCCCCCCCCCCCCCCGTGAAAGCAGCCTCCTCTTAGTTACCTCCTCTAAGTTTAAATTAGTTTCAAACTGAATTATCTGCCCCTAATAGCCGTAACCAAACTACAACTCACCTGACCATGTGAGGGGGGTGGGGGTGGGGTGGGGGGGGGGGGTGGTAGCGATAGAGAGGAAGAGAGGGGACTGCAAGGCGCGCGCTTGCAGCTTGTTTTCTAACGGCTCCCAGAAGAGAATTATATATAGACCTATATATAGATAAGTATTATATCAAATTTGTAGTTCTGTATCAACTTTTTAGCGATTTTCGATAACTGGAAGTGGACTTATTCTACATTTAGTTTTTCAATAGCCTATAACTTGAGAACTGTTTCACATAGATAAACAAAATTTCACATATAACTAAAATATCTAATTTTCCGCCTTCTGTCAACTTTTGAGTAATTTCCGTTGATCGAAAGTAGTAGTCTACGCTAATTCCGATTTCTCAAAAAAACGCATATGAATTTATGAAGTACTAGTATTCTGCACTGATATACACTTATTGTTTGCCGTTCACTTGGTGCGCACTTCTTTTTTCTACGAGGTTCTATTCTACTTTTTAAAAAAGTTAAAGTAATTAAAAATGGATTAAAAAATCAGGTCTATATCCCGAGTTGCCATCCCCCATAGTATTATATAAGAATATTCGAGGAAGTTTAGGGGAGATTACTCCCGCTTTAATTATTTTATTATTTTTTCCGATTTAGCTTTTGTATGCGAAATCTCGTGATTTCTGAGAGGTTTTGTTTTTCCAACTGATGTTTTAAAAACATTAAAAGAGACTTGAAGGTTCCAGATTGTTCTTAGTCTTTTTGAGTTCTTTTATCGAGTTCTTTTGTCGGTACAAAGCTAGTTGCAAACGCCAGAGACTTTCACCATTGAAGGAAACACATCATTAAGGAACACTGGAGGCCTTGCTCTCTATTACTAAATAATAGTTGTGTCGCTGTGTGCTAGGAATCCGTGAAATATTTTTGAAGTCACAGTAATATGGTTGAAGTTATATCTCCTATATAAATTGTATATCTTATATATTTTGTCCTCTTATTGTATGCAGTGTACTCTTTCTGTTTTCAATAAGCATATTAATTTTAACTGTAACTGCCTATTTATATCCTTTCACCCCATCCCCACAGTGTCAGGCATCTCTATCTGGCAGTCCAGCTCTCTACCGCTAGACCACTCCGTCCCCTGTATACTAGGAACCCTCTACCGCTAGACCACACCGTCCCCTGTATACTAGGAACCCTCTACCGCTAGACCACACCGTCCCCTGTATACTAGGAACCCTCTACCGCTAGACCACACCGTCCCCTGTATACTAGGAACCCTCTACCGCTAGACCACACCGTCCCCTGTATACTAGGAACCCTCTACCGCTAGACCACTCCGTCCCCTGTATACTAGGAACCCTCTACCGCTAGACCACACCGTCCCCTGTATACTAGGAACCCTCTACCGCTAGACCACTCCGTCCCCTGTATACTAGGAACCCTCTACCGCTAGACCACTCCGTCCCCTGTATACTAGGAACCCTCTACCGCTAGACCACACCGTCCCCTGTATACTAGGAACCCTCTACCGCTAGACCACTCCGTCCCCTGTATACTAGGAACCCTCTACCGCTAGACCACTCCGTCCCCTGTATACTAGGAACCCTCTACCGCTAGACCACTCCGTCCCCTGTATACTAAGAACCCTCTACCGCTAGACCACTCCGTCCCCTGTATACTAGGAACCCTCTACCGCTAGACCACTCCGTCCCCTGTATACTAGGAACCCTCTACCGCTAGACCACTCCATCCCCTGTATACTAGGAACCCTCTACCGCTAGACCACACCGTCCCCTGTATACTAGGAACCCTCTACCGCTAGACCACTCCGTCCCCTGTATACTAGGAACCCTCTACCGCTAGACCACACCGTCCCCAGTATACTAGGAACCCTCTACCGCTAGACCACTCCGTCCCCTGTATACTAGGAACCCTCTACCGCTAGACCACACCGTCCCCTGTATACTAAGAACCCTCTACCGCTAGACCACTCCGTGCCCTGTATACTAAGAACCCTCTACCGCTAGACCACTCCGTCCCCTGTATACTAGGAACCCTCTACCGCTAGACCACTCCGTCCCCTGTATACTAGGAACCCTCTACCGCTAGACCACACCGTCCCCAGTATACTAGGAACCCTCTACCGCTAGACCACTCCGTCCCCTGTATACTAGGAACCCTCTACCGCTAGACCACTCCGTCCCCTGTATACTAGGAACCCTCTACCGCTAGACCACACCGTCCCCTGTATACTAAGAACCCTCTACCGCTAGACCACTCCGTCCCCTGTATACTAAGAACCCTCTACCGCTAAACCACTCCGTCCCCTGTATACTAGGAACCCTCTACCGCTAGACCACTCCGTCCCCTGTATACTAGGAACCCTCTACCGCTAGACCACACCGTCCCCAGTATACTAGGAACCCTCTACCGCTAGACCACTCCATCCCCTGTATACTAGGAACCCTCTACCGCTAGACCACACCGTCCCCTGTATACTAGGAACCCTCTACCGCTAGACCACTCCGTCCCCTGTATACTAGGAACCCTCTACCGCTAGACCACACCGTCCCCAGTATACTAGGAACCCTCTACCGCTAGACCACTCCGTCCCCTGTATACTAGGAACCCTCTACCGCTAGACCACACCGTCCCCAGTATACTAGGAACCCTCTACCGCTAGACCACACCGTCCCCAGTATACTAGGAACCCTCTACCGCTAGACCACTCCGTCCCCTGTATACTAGGAACCCTCTACCGCTAGACCACTCCGTCCCCTGTATACTAGGAACCCTCTACCGATAGACCACTCCGTCCCCTGTATACTAGGAACCCTCTACCGCTAGACCACTCCGTCCCCTGTATACTAGGAACCCTCTACCGCTAGACCACTCCGTCCCCTGTATACTAGGAACCCTCTACCGCTAGACCACTCCGTCCCCTGTATACTAGGAACCCTCTACCGCTAGACCACACCGTCCCCTGTATACTAGGAACCCTCTACCGCTAGACCACACCGTCCCCTGTATACTAGGAACCCTCTACCGCTAGACCACTCCGTCCCCTGTATACTAGGAACCCTCTACCGCTAGACCACACCGTCCCCTGTATACTAGGAACACGTGCAATATTTTTGCT